CTGAGGATTTTGGACTAGCTCTTGCAAAGTTATGGCAAATATACAGTGAGACATTCAGTGGATCAGATAAAATAAATTAATTCACAGAAGTGCGTATGAGACATGATAAAAAGAGAAGTTGTAAAATATTTTTTTCAACGCAATTCAAATTAATATATACTGAAACGCAAAAGAAACGCAACAAGCAGTAATCTACAAATATTTGAACCTTTTAACTAATGATTTTCAAAACTGATTACAGTTGAGTTAAATTCGATTTAAAAACATCAGAGATTTGATAACAATGTTAAATGATTATCTTTTAACTTAAGAAAGAAACACAAGACTGTTAAAACACCCCCCTTCTCATCCATTCAATTGTAGCGTGGAAGACTGCCATGCACAACAATTGCAGCTTGATTTCCACGATGCAATAGGTTCATCAATCTCGAGATCTGAGCGAAAAAAATATTCTTTGCCATTTTTAAATGTCCGTTTTTCAGATGACGAAGTCGAATTTTCTCTAACCTAGCGCAGTATAGTAACACTTGGACTTCCGGTCCACGGACTATCATTCATGGTAATAATACGTATGAGCCTGTTGAGGCGTGTTGTCGTGCATTTTTGCATCTGCAATTCTCCATCACCTTTATTTTCAGATTTTCCAGCTAGAGCATTTGAAATGCATACTTAAGTCATTTTCGGGAAGCCTTGGCATCTCTTCCGGAAACGAAAGAATTTATTTGCGGAATATTGCTGCATTATTTATGATAAACAGATACAAACCCTTGAAACTCCATATTTTTATCAAATGTTTTGTTAAACATGCAATTTTTGATTTCTGTTAAGCGGGCTCAAACTTAACTTCCGGTTATGGCATGAAAATCATTCAACCGTTAAATTATCGATACTTACAATGTTGAAGATATCCGCACTTTTTAGATACAAAATTATATCCTTTATATGATTTTCCCCTCTAAAATAGGATGTTGCATTTCTTTTGCGTTTCAGTATATATTAGGTGGAAAAAAGTACCCATCCTCTCTATTGAAAACATATTCAAACTTCTTAAATCTGTTGCATATTTGATCTCATTTTATCCTTAAATTTTTAGCTCACCTCAACGAAGTTGGGGGAGCTTATGTAATACCCGCGTCCCAGGTTAAGGTTTTTGGAGCAGTTTTCTTTACAAGTACTTCTATGGCCTATATTAGTCAGAGATGCATGGAGGATGCTTCTAGTGTGTTTCATTGTACCAGTCAAGGTTTCAGATGCTGCAATTTCAGCTAAAAAATGACAAGGTTAATGTTTTTAGAGCAGGTTAAAGTTTTTGGAGCAGGTCTCATTTCCAAGTAAGTATAAGCCCTATATTGACCAAACTTGCATGGATGATGCATCTAAGGATGCACACTACTGAACTTGCTTCGGATGCTGGATCTGACCTACATTTTCCGGATGAGTGATCAGGTTAAAGTTTTTGAAGTAGATCTCATTTCCTATCTGAACCAAACTTGCATGGATGGTGCATCAAGGGACGAACAATCTCAAACTTGTGTCGGATGCTGGATTTGACTTACATTTTCTGGATGAGTGACTAGTTTTAAGTTTTTAGATAAGTCTTTCCCACGTAACTGCAAGCCCTATCAGACCAAAATTGCATAAATGTTGCATCTAGGGATGCACACTCCTAGGTTATTAGTTTAGTGTGGGACTTTGCCTTACTTAAAGACAACATTCGTTGAGGTGAGCTCTGTAATCTCTGATTACCTATGTTTCTTTCTGAGCATGCTAACTTTTAACATAATTGTAGAAAATATGAACATCTTTCCAATAGTATATACACATGTAAAATACACATGACAATATTTCTGTTTACTGCAGAATTCAAAAATTGAATTGTTGAAACTGGTTCTTATCCACAACTTTTGAATGAAAAAAAGAAACCAGGCCTCGAGACCATAAACTGAGAACAGACTTAAGTCAAAATTTTGATTTTGAATATCTGAAGTTTTATTTAACATACATACTTAAAAATGTGCAGGTTTGTTTAATATTCCAATGTTAACATATGATGAAAATTTTGTTCCATTATCAAAATCATTTTAAAAGTTATATTGATTTGAAATTTTGACTTAAGTCTGTTCTCAGTTTATGGTCTTGGGGCCAGGTCTTGAATTTAAATAATATTTGCAAGGGCGTATCATTTACAACAATACTTTTCCCTAGAGGTAAAAAAAAGTTGTTTTACTAAACAAGAGATACATATACACTACATCAGCTGTTATTAATAGCTGATGTACGTTACATAACACACAAAATTCCATAAAATGATAAAAAGGAAATAATGTCTTGTTTCAATCAAGCATATATTTTCCTAGGTTGTTTTGAATTCCAATATTTGTCATAAAACGAGTGAAAGTTGTGACTCGAATTTCCTCAGTCACGCCACTTTCTACCAGTTCTAAAGCGTTCTGTTCTGTCGTTAATTATAAAAGAAAACATTATTGTCTTAAAATTAAGTTTAAAAAAAATCTTCAAGACGTATTCCAATTTATCCTGCAACTACCCCTTGCATTGACCATATAAAGGTAACCTAATAAACCAAAGCTTTATTCGGTCACTGCCCTAATAAAGCCTCGTGCATGTATTCCGACGATCTAAAAGCATTGTGACGTCTTGAATATTGCAATGTTTACGCCATGGCGTCTTAGATTCAACTGCAGTGATGTACCTATATCGATTGAAAATAGGTCGTTTTGAAGGTCATGTAAAAATATGTTGCAGGATAAACAAAATACATCGATACTGTCTTGAAATATAAGCGATATTTGGGCTCGGGTCGAAAACGTGATAGAGGGCTCGGCAAGCCTCGTCCTCTATCACGTTTTCTTACCCTCGCCCAAATATCGCTTATATTTCAAGACAGTAACCATGTATTTTATATGTATTGAAGCAATTGTCAGAGATAATACGTACTCAAAAACTTTCAAAACAAGCGGTTGACAGAACCTCAATTTCTACGAGGCCCTCTGCATGACATTTGATCAAGATTGCTGCTTCGTCTATTTCATTCAATCTTTCATTAAAAAGTTAATCTGAAATTTATACTTTTTTCTAATATATGACATTGACATGTCACTTTTTCAAATGACTATTTAAAAAATATATGAAACCCTCCGATTCTGACATTTTGGCGCTATGCTGTGCACATGGTGCAGTGACTATTCACTCTTCGAATACTGTGATTGGATGAATATATTTACTTCAGCCAATGACAAATCGCATTTTGAAAGGCTTGTGAAAAGTTTATTTATATTTCTTTTATTTTTTCAGTGACTATAAATAAACTATCGGCGGGAGAAATAAAAATAAAACTTGAATTAGTGACTTTTATTTTTATTTCATTTTAGCCCGAATTAGGGTCGGCGCTCCCGTAAAACAGGAAATAAAAAAAATGTTGGCCTTTAAAACTCTTCAGTCAACCACATGTCTCAGTTAAGTTTAGACTCGCGTGAGAAATTGTCTAAGGGCATATAAACTTGATATTCAAGGCAACTTAAAGTTGCCTTTCTCAAAAATGCTTATTTTCAGTCGGAAATTACATTTGAATAATGAACTATTACTTATTTAAGAACACATTTGAGGGGATGTATTCAAATGACAAAGATATGTGCAATGCCTGATAGTTCTTGAACCATCATTCGGGTTTTGTTGCCATAAATAAAAAATATCAAGATCTTCTAGTTAGAACTGCAACGGCCATTTTTGAATGTTCCTGAAAGAAATGTTAAGTTGATAATAAACTCATCTTTATATTCTAACTTTGAAAAATCATTTTGAAAATGTACATTTTATTGAAAGTTGAATATATGTTAAAGCCTCTCTAATAAATTTAATTAATGACATTCAATAAGGTACATAATTCTTACGATGTTTCTTAACGAAGAAAAAAATTCCGGGCAACCTGTAAAAAATTTGAAAATTGGTCAAATTTAAATTCATGAATACATGTTTTCGGCGAAAACATCATACAGTGTGTAGCTAAAGGTTTAAGGAATCTCGATATTTTATTATATTTATTTGTAATGACCCCAAAAATGTAATAAAATTTTACATTGTATCGTTACTTATATTTATTTTGTTATAATGTTGTCTCCAACAGAAGGAACCTATGCTCTTTTTTCCTTATGATAACTGTAGACTGGAATATTTTCGACTCAGTTAAAATTCACCCTTTTCGCATTTATTTTCAATTGATAGTGTGAGTTTTAATACAAAAAGCACATATATATTTATATATTCAAAGTTTACAGAACAAAGTTCATTTTTACAATGGGATAGTTTTCAATGACGTCCTAATAAAAAAAATATGTACATTTCAAGATCTCCAGTATTTTAGTTTGATGGTTTCTTTACTGATATTTTTCCAGCATTGCATGATTCTTTGAGCAGTACTTACCTTAATTATAATAACTTCTTATCAACTATTGAGTATGTTCATTATTATCTTGAACAATCGCAGTTTTTTTATTGGTACCACAGGGATTTCACATTTTCCAGCTCGGAAGTGAACATACTGTAATAAAACTAATGAATACTTGGCTCCTTGCACAATCCTATGAACATTGGCACAAGGCAATTTTAAGATGATATAATAATATATAACTGAGAACTTTTTATTTAGCTTGCATCATAATGTCAGAATTTTAATTAATACTATAAATTTACCTCCTAAATGAAAGAGAGAGTAATAATAGCCACTGACAGTTACCATCCCGCCAGCTGTTTGTCTTGTAATTTTAGTTGTTCAACTGACAGCTTAACACAGGCTTCAAGGATACGTTGTCCGTAACAACATTTCGAATTAATACTCACACTTAGTGAGAACAACTGAAACCATGTTGTTAGCATTCAGCTTTCAATTTCTACTGATAGTACGAACTATTTCGACAGATTCAGCAAAAATTAAAAACGAAACATTGGCGTTAGAGTTCTTAATTGATCATGACCAATCCTTCGGAATGTTATGGAACATATTCTATAAATCTGTTTGGGAATATGTGACGAATATTACCGAACCAAGCAGAAAAGACATGGTGAGTATTTTGAAGACATTTGGAGGGATGGGAAGTGATTATTTAAATCGTGAATAAAAAGTTTGTTAAAATATAAATTACTTTATGTATCGACAAAAAAATCAAATAAATTTAATATTTTTTTCTTCTTTCCTTTCGTTCTCTTTTGACTACTCGAACGATGATTTAATGTGTTTGTCTTTGAATAAATTATTTTTTACATGTTTTTCAAACTATTTCTTACTTTAAACCGTTTTGTGACAGCATTTTCGGAAAACATTTGAATACTAGTATTTTAAATTCTACCATGCAAAACAAGTCATTGTCTTCGATACTCTTCTATTTTTTAGAACAAAAAATCTGTTCAACTATCAAAGTTTGACAAAGAGGCAGCAGAATATGCGAGAATGTTTGCTTACGAAAATTTCACCAACACAACTATGAAACGACAGTTCATCAAAGTCATAGAGAGAGCAGGATTATACACAATCAACGATTCAACACTATTAGAACAGGTATCATAAACTTTAAAAGTGAAATTGATAAACCACGTATATATAATCTCTATCTGAAAAAATGAAGTTCAACAAGATTTCTTTTTCACTTGAATTAGGTGAAATATTAAAAGTTTTCCACCTCCTTATTTTGCATTCGTTTCACTTATAATGATATATCTGTCTCCAAAATAGATTTAGATACATCAAAATCTTAGAAAAATGCAAGATACTCATAAATTGTGTACAGGAATTCTGTAAGACCAAAAAAAAAAAAAATAAATAAATAAAAAATAAAATAAATTAAAATAAATAAATAAATGCTGTCATGATATGATGTCATTTCTAAAATCGAGCATAAATACTTAGGTGAACATGTGGTTCATGGGCCTCTTATGTATGTATTTCATATACTAAATTTATTACCAGTTTGAAATTACAGAATTTAATAATGTAAATTCTGTTAAAAAGAAAATTTGGAAAGAAGACTTTGTTCAATAAAAAAAAAAAAAGGTGTGTTTTTGAAAAACTGATGCCCCCGTCAAGGTCAAGAGATAAAAAAAATTATTTATTTTTGAATTAATCGAAGACCTTGATACTTTGTCAGATTGGGATTAATTATATAAGATGTATGTTGAAATCTCGTGTTTAACGGTTGAGGGGCAATATGAAAAGCATATACTCTTCTGTCGTCAGCAATTCAGAAATGACTAAAGAAATAGATAGATTTCACGATGTACAATTCGACATTTAGATATATCGACAACGTTTTATCAATATCATTTAACAATATTCAATTTCATTCCTACATTGATTCGATATATATATGCCTTTGAACTCGAATTAAGACACCACAGAGTCTGACACATTATTTTCATAACATCATTTGATGTTTAACTAGAGAAAGATGCAAACTAACAACAAAACGTTATAATACACGTGATGAATTCCAACTTTTCTATCTACAATATCTATTTCTTCATGAACATGATACTTTCAAATACTGTGACGAAGGCTTTTTTAATGACTCTGCTTACAATGATAGGTCATTGCATACCCCATAATTATAATATGCAATTTTGCTTTTAACGTTAACGTTACAGAAATACAGACCAAAGACAACATATATTTACCCCCATGTGGTATCACGGCGGATGGGGGAGGGGTGAATTAGAAAAAAAAGGTACAGGTGCAAAAATAAATATATGTTCAGATTTTAAATTGTTTTCAGAAAGTGATCATACGATGTTTAAAAAATGTAAAATGGTTAGAAAAAAGACTGCATGCAATCAGATGGTTACAAGAAAAGTTTGAAAAGTATATTTTTGGCTTAATTTTGTTCAATTGTTCTTCTTGCAGATAACAAGGACAAAGGCAGAGATCAGTAACTTACACAGAAAGTCTATCTACTGTTTACCTCGGGAAAATTGTCTATACCGCGCAGGTAAGACATCGTATGTAGGTATTCATAAGAATATGAATGTGCTTGTGATTTAAACAATTATGGAGCCAAATGGAAACATATATAAACTGATAATGTATTATTGATATAATTGATGATGAACAGGGCTAGAGAAGATCATGTCTAAAAGTAGATCGTACGATGAACTACTGACAGTGTGGGAAGGTTGGCACCACATAACGGGAAGAAGTGTTAAAGAACATTTTATAAAACTCACCAAGTTAATGAACAAGGCTGTAAAATATAAGGGTAAGGTAAATAATTTCATGGAGAATTAAACATTATTATGGAGTCTTTAAAAACGTTTAATGATTTTTTTTAAATGCTTCAGAGCTGACAGATTCATATTTCAGAAGTATGAGGTGGAATGCATGTGAAATAATAGCCTCATTTTTCACTCGTAAACATCTGCATTAATTATCATCTTTTATCTTGAATTACTTGAAGAAGTTACGTAAGAAATTATTAAGTGAAATAATTTGTTTTCAGCATGAAATTTCTTACCATTTCATGCATAAATATTTCATGAACATCTTTTGTAAAGAAGAGATAACTAACACTTTTACGTCGTTTTCATTTCAAAAGGCGTCCTCTTTCATAGAGTCATATCAAAACACAAACACAAAACTGACAGCAAAATTAACTGATGTAAAATTGAAGTTTTATCAAAATGTTAAGAAAGTGTTTTCTATTACTTCATAAGCATGCAGTCAGTGGTATTGTAGATGGAAATATTTTCATTTATTATAGTAGCCCAGGAACTGTTTGGAGGAATCCAGAATGAGTCTTGTTAGTATTTCTCTGTAATATTTAGGTATTGATGAATAAGGATTGCGTCAAACCCGAAAAAATATAAATACCGCTAAAATAAGTTAATGAAGTTTCTTTACTCAATTGATTTCATTTAAGGTCATGACGACGTTGGAGAATGGTGGGCATCCTTTTATGAGATATCATACTTCGAGAATGATATTGCACGTTTGTTTAAAGAACTAGAACCTTTGTATCTAGAACTCCATGCTTACATACGTAAACAGTTACTTAAGAGATATGAAAAAGACATATTCCCAATGTCTGGTCATATCCCAGCACATTTACTCGGTGTGTGTTGTTTCTTGTAAAGATTTCTTTCAATAATCTCAAATGACAATAAGTGTAAATAACATTAATGTACTATTTGGTTTTAAATATGATAGCAAATTATTATTCTACCTTTAACATTTCGAAATTATTGAATTTTTTTATAATCAAGGAAAGAACTCTGAGATGAACTACGGTGAATAAACGAGGAATGAATCAAATTAATGAAATTAACTAGTAATACTTCCTGTTTGTATTTTCATTACATAGGTTCTCTTGACAGTGGGAAACTGGAAAAGATTTACCAATTTGTGGAGCCCTTCCCAAACAATAGCAGAGTGAATATAACGAAGAAAATGAGGGAACAGGTAAGAGAACTGATGTATTTGAAAGCGAGAAAAAAATGAGTGAAATTCAATTTTTAACAACATTAATCTATTTTAGTTTAAGTTACAATTATATCAGTTAGCCCGATCATGACAAGGAGGACATGGCGGGTGTGACCGTTCGACAGGGGATGCTTATCCCTCCATGGCACCTGATCCCACCTCTGATGTTTTCAGAGGTCCATGTTTACTCTGCTCCAAATTTGTATTAATTAAATGGACTTCTGAGCTTCATTACTGTTCGTAATCTTCATATTTGATTTCATGCAATTTAAGTAGAAACAAAAACATGCTTTCTTTCTTTAGTTTCTACAAATTAATTTACGAAGATATATAACTTGCTCTTCTTTTTTAACAGCAATTTAATGTTACCCTAGTGTATCGGATCGCAGAGGACTTTTATACTTCAATGGGGTTTGAACCAATGGATGATGATTTCTGGGAGAATTCGATGTTTGTCGAGCCCAGTAACAGATACGTTTTTTGTAACCCTTCGTCTTGGGACTTCGGTGATGGAAAAGATTATAGGTGTGTTATTCGCTAAAAGTTGTCTGTTCTTCGCTATAAAATGAAGAAAGTTTATAAATAATATACCGCTTATAGGATTTTCCTCCAACAAAGTCTAATTTCTCGCTATTTATTAAAATTGATATATTAATTGACATCTAAACCTAGATTCATAACAAAGTAATCAAAATAAACATTCAGAATACGGAATAGAATCCAAATGCAAGGAGAATAAACATATTATTTATCCCCTTGAATTTCTATCACTGTATAGAATAAAGGCCTGTACCCGAATTGACGAGAAGAATCTAATTATGGCACATCATGAGGTGGGGCATATTGTCTATTACCAAAGTTACAAACACCAGGATACCATATTCAGGAATGGCGCTAATCCTGGTAATTTTTTCATACAAATGCCATTATAGTCTATTGTTGTTTCTAGTTTTGATCAGCAATTCGATAGGCGCCATTATTGCAAGGTGATGATGATTTCTGGTCTTTCTTTCAACTTAAGCTTTCCATGACGGAGTTGCCAGTCTTGCATCTTTGTCAGTAAAGACACCAGAACACCTTCACAAGATTGGCTTCACTGAAACCATACTAGAAGATCCAGGTAACGAAATATAATTATAGGAAAATTGTTTATTGAACCGTAAAACTTAAATAATTATTATTCTCATAGATAGCATAAATAACTGAGTATTCTTACTATTTTTGATACCCAGTACACATAAAAAGTAAGTGTACCCAGTACACATAGAAAGTAAAAGTGTGAGACAGATTATATTAGAATATTAGAATTAAAATTATGTATTTAATAGAGTTTGTCGCATACTAGTATACATTTTTGCTGTTTATCATCAACTCCTTGATAAAAAAAATAATTCAATGTTAAACTTAAGAGGAAATGAAATGGGGTTTTTTTTGGCAGAAAGAGATATGAACTACCTGATGAAATTGGCTTTAGAAAAAGTAGCTCTTTTACCCTATGCATATGCAATCGAATATTGGCGATGGGGTGTTTTCAGGGGACAAATATCTCCCTCAGAATACAACAAGAAGTGGTGGGACATCAGGTATAACGAATTTATTGTCATATCAATTAGAATTGTAAGTAAAATATTTTTATTTCAAGGATGAAGTCACAAGACTGATAATCAGATTATTGGCTACATTTACTGCGAGTGTTAGCATGTTGAATGTTTTTTTTCCTAAACAGATGCCGCTATCAAGGAATTTCACCGCCAGTTGAACGAAGAAAGGAAGATTTTGATCCTGGTTCCTTGCATCTTGTTGCTACGAATCAACCTTTCATTAAGTATGTTATAGTCATATATTGCAGTACCCTACTGATAAGCTTTAGAATTTGTAGAAATAAATCTAAAACACCTTCGCAACTACTTTCAGGAATACTCAATATAGAATACTCATTTTGAGAAAAAAGACGCAGGAATTTGCGGGGAAAAAAACGAAAGAAAATCCTCAGTTAATTATTGCCTTCAATATAGGATCATGTATGGTTTTCCTTTTCTTTAGGCATTTCGTAAGTGTAATTCTACAATTTCAATGGCATGAGGCCCTTTGTAAAGCAGCGGACCATAAAGGACACTTACACAGGTGTAATCTGTATGGAAGTAGAACTGCTGGACATATTCTAAAGTAATTTATGTTAAAGTAAACAGCTTATAGCATGATATTGAGTATTTATATGTTACAACATGTTTAATATGAAATATGAAGATAACTAGATAAAACAGTATCACTATCCATCTGTTATATAGAAAAGCACTAAGCTTGGGGTCATCTAAATCCTGGCAGAATGTGATGCGTGTTGTAACAGGTCAAAGGCAGATGAGTGTCAAACCATTGATGAAGTATTTCAATCCTCTTCTGTTGTGGCTGAGGGACCAGAATAAAGAGGAAAATATAGGCTGGGCGAGGTCCTGTCCCTCCATCATACCCCAATTACAGACTCCAACTCCTCTCGATCACCCAGATAAGTACATGTTAGTATTTAGTGGTTTTGAACATATTTTATTTACAATATGTCAATGGGATTCGACACAAGCTCCAATAACTTAGTCCTTATGAATTACATGAATTTCGAGTATTATAAATTGAAACAATGTTTCTAATCATTGGTGCAATATTTTTAAGTGCTAAGGAGCTACATTATTGTAGATTTTGAACAACGTTGAAAGTTAAGCCTTATCTGTTCTTGTAACAAGAGGTTTCCAACCAGTTTCAACATACAATGAGCTTCTTAATGCTTATACCGAAAGACCTGTCACAATCCTTATAACGGTCATTTGATCCTTTTTTTTTCTCAATATATGCCACCAAACACCTGTCCAAACTCAAGTTTTGGTCGTATAAAGGAAGTGTAAATTTTGGATAAAGTTTTTCTAAACACCAAAAATTTCTTCAGACGTCCAAGTTTTTAAGCCTTTACTGTCATGTGATTTAATTTAATCAGACCAACATAATTTGATGAAAAAATATAAACCAAGATGTTTATTTGTATAACATATTCTAAATGACACTTTCCAAAAAAAAATAATACAGGTAATTGGTTTGTATTTTTCAAACTGAAAAACACTACTTTTGATTTACTTGATTAAATTTTAATAGTCGTTTTTAATCACTCATCCAGATTTTAAGTCATGGCTCAATGTGGCGACGTAATCTAGGCTTTCTTGTAGAGAGGTATCATGATTCTGCAAAAAGTCTGCAAACAGATATCATATTTTTGGCAACATCATTCACATATATAATAAGTAAAAGAGAGCCAAGGACAGAGTCTTGAGAACTTCAGCATTTTTCACGGAAAAAGTAGATTTTTATTCACAACTTTTTGTTTTCAATTGTTTAAGCAACTTTCAAACCATTCTAACATATTACTAGTGATATCATACATTTTCAATGTATAAAGCAACCTTCTTTGCCACACTCTATAAAAAAGTTTTAATTAATCGCAAGAAATCAATACTACAATATTGTTGTCAACCATACTTTCTACAATAGTATAAGTTTTTAAGAGTTGATACACCGTTGAATGACCAGACAGAAAACCTGCCTAAATTTTATAGAACGAATTATTAGTAGTTTAAAATGATCTATTCAGATATATTTTAAAAAAATGTCTATTTCACCATGACAAATCCTGTACCCCAGTCACTTTCAATGTTTTTTTTTTATTTTTCAGACGCTATTTTCATTTGATCCCTCCAATAGAATAGAATAGAATTGTATAAAAGGAATAATGCTGTTCAGGTAAGTAAACAGCAATTATCTGTATAAAATGTTTGATAATTAACTCTGGGTCAAAAAACTATAAAATTATTAAATTATTATACATTTTCACTTTAAAGGGTAAATGATCTCTACAGTCTTTGGACAAAGGCCAGGAAAGGACCATTCTGTTTATATACAGTATAGAAAAGAAGGACAAAACGTTATCCCAGAATATTCAGCATCAGTATTTTATATTCATTTTGTATTAACGTTTTGCATGTGTTTAACTTTAAAAAAATGTTTTTATTACCTTATGTTTTATCGAGTAAATGCCAGCAGTGTTCAACTGAAACATTGTTAACATCGTATAATTCATTAATGCTTACTACATTTGTTTCAAAATGTGTTTTAATAAAAAAGATTACTTATATATGTAAGATTACTTAAAGTTACATATTGAGTCAAAATCAAGTGTTTCTTTTAAGAAAGTTGTATCACAAAACAAAAGATTTATGTGAAATATGAATATAGTGAAGTTTTGGCAACTGAACTGCACTGTAAAACAAGAAAAAAGCTGCAAAATGTAAGTGCCGTCGTAACGACGAAAAGTGACCCCCGTAGAATATTGACCGGGGGGGGGGGGTCAAATTTCTCCTTAGAAAAATGACGCCCGGTCAATTTTCTACGGCAAGTATGGTCGTTTTTCGACAGTAGAAAACCCTTCCATGCCGGTAATTCTACGACTCCACACACGTTGAAAAATGACCCCCATAGAAATCTGACCCCCTACTTTTTCACTATATTTTATAATTAAACCTTTAGAAATGAGATGTGATATGCGTTAATCCGAGGTTGGGGAGGGTCGGTGAAGGCCTAGAGTCTCCTGATTTTTTTTTCCCTTTCAAATGTGTATTGGGGGAGGAGCAAAGTATCTTCCCCTTCTTAAAAAAATAAGAGAAAGCACGGCATATGTAGCGTCCAATATAGAGATGCTATCATTAACTGTAATTACTGCTTAATTTTTAATATCATGTAATATCTTTTTCCCTCTTTTAGGTTCATTTACCCTTATTTATAACATGAATACACACGGCATGCTATACAGTGGTACTCATGTTCGTATAAATCTTGCCCGTCTGTCTGTGTGGGTGGGGTATCACTAGAGAGCACTGGCCCATAGGTACTTACAATGCATGTTATATTTTATGTTCCTATATTTATATGTGCACATTTTTTTTTATATTTTAGGCAACTACAAGGGGTGATCAAAAAATTCGTGTACTATCTCTTTATTTACAAAAGCACAGTTCATATCAAAATGAAATTTGGCTCACATTTAATCATAAACATGTTCTATAAATAGCAGATGTGACATCACAATATAAAAATGACTCAATATGTAGATGACGTGACAAAAATGGTTGACTCAGTCGTATTTGAGCAACGAACGGCTTTAAAGTTTAACGTTTATATTGGAAATTCATTTGCAGTAGCATTATATATTAATTTGTACAAGATTTAGGAAAACAAACGACTTGCCAAAAGTCCAATCATTATTTGAATTAATTGTTTAAGTGAAGGAAGGGAGGTGGTTAAAATAATTTGTTCTGTGCCAAGTGAAAATAATCTGGGGGAAGAGATGTGTCCTCAGTTGAGCAATTTGTAACGAAAGATCGCCAAATTACAGTTAGAAAAATAGTTGAATATCTTAACAAATATCTTAACAAGGTTTGTTCCCGTTTTGCACACATTTGAATTTCAGGTATTGAAAAATGTGCGCAAAACGGAAATTTGTCCTGGTAAGATAATTACGTAATTATCATATAGTCTATATTATAGTTTTGAATTTGGAGAAAAAGAAATCTATGACAAGAATACGAAGAAAAAAATTTTATTTTCCATAATTTTTTTTCTATTTTGATTTATTTCTGCAATTTCATAATAAGAAAAAAACTATTTCAAAGCATAAAAAATATCATAAATACTAATCAAAACTATAATTACAATGTACATTCATATGATACTAAATGAGCAAGTTAATTCTTTTTTTTTATTAAGATTGAATTCATTAACTCATTCATATTATCTTCATGAAACTAAAAAAAGGGGAGTCGGTTGCCATAACGATATTTGTCTGATATATCAACTTCAGTTGGATTGGACAAATTAAATTTCAAACATTATTCCTTTAAATATATATTATGATGCATTGGTGAAATACAGGTAATTCCAGGTAAATCCCAGACTGAGATCAGACTATAAATGCCATCAATTTGAAAGCATATTTCACACCTATTGTTCTATACCTAATTATCAAATGTGTGCAAATCGGGAACACATCCTTAACAATAATATAATTATAAAATTCCTAAAATATCGTTTACCTTAGATTTAAAACATATCATATATGATAAAAAGAGGGCGCCCATACTTTTTCCACAATGGATAAACGACGCACCCAATACAAAGGAGTCGGGTTGTGATGGTCACCATGCTCATTCTGGGAAAAGATATCCTTATCCATCAGTCCTATTTGTGACAAATGGGCTATTCTTGTTATAAAAAATAATTTGCATGGTAAGAAATATAAGACTCGGAAAAATTAAAAAATTTATGAATGTTATCAATAAGGAATTATCCCAACGAAGCAATGAAAAATTAACGCCTCATTTCCCCATGTGCACTTTCTAACACAACCACAAAAAGATCGGCCGCTCCTGCGGCCGATAATAACAAACATTGAAACCTGGTTTTATTTCTTTTATAGAAGTAATTCAATTAGTTCGCGAACTTTTTGATTACCCGTCGTATTTCTTGTATATTAACATATCCCAAGATTTTACATTACTATCAATTGTGAGAAAGTTTCAGCTTTGAAATCTCAAAATAGTTCCAGACTAAGTTTCATAGTTAATCAAAGTATCAGAGTATTTACCTCAGTTAATAATAGTAAACTAAAGTTAACTATAGTTTACTATAGTAAATTTTTGTTAGGGGTGCCTTTCGATTGTGATAGAAATATTGGCAATATACTGCCCTTCCTTGATCATTATATAGATACATGTATAATCTACATTATCATGCACATATGCATTATGTAACTCCTTATAAGTAGGATTTTTGATGTAAGAAAAAAAAAATTTTGTTTACGTTTATCCTAAAAACTCATATTTTTAAAACCTCGTATCACACAGCAAGATCGCTTAATTTGTGTATAGGAAAGACATGGCCAATTTTTATCTTTAGGCTAGCAAATTTAAAGAGTGGGTTACATCCTCGTTACCCACTCCCTCAAAACTTAACACTATAGATACGCTGACACGAATCACGTACTTCATTCGAACACAATATGTATTACAATATTTTTGGGCACAGTTCTATGTTTTTTTTTTTTTTTTTTTTTTTTTTTTTTTTGCAAACGCAACTTCAATTGTGCTAATAAATTAGGCAGAGAAGCTTTTCATAATGCAATATTCGGGGTTTTTTTATTTGTAAAAATTATTACATGTAACTAGAAAAGGGGAAATACGTACTACTGTGTATACACTTGTGTCAATTCTTAGTATACCAACCACCTCTTGTATTAATTAATCATTTTTTTTATTGTAAAAAGCCTCATTTTGTTTAGGCTTTGTTGACACTAGCAAACTAAAAATATCAGAGGAATATTGATTTAGTCCTGTCTGTTATTTTTACACAAATTTAATCTTCGTTATATTTTTATGAGAAGTTTTATACTAGAAAATCAAAGATATATATGAGATCTAATTTT